TCTAAGATATAAAAATGTAGAGTACTTACTTTGATTAATAAATATTTATTATCTCGAGTATTGTTTAAAAAGTTGTATATTTCTTCAAAAGACAAATTTTTTGATTTTTTTTTGTAGTGCCGGTTTAATTTTGTTTTTTTAAATATCCCTTAAGGCTCGCATATTTAGAAATGTCAATGTTGTGTTTTTTCTTCTTGTAGGAGATTGCAATTCGTTGCAATTGTTCTGTTCCTTCTCTTTCTTGATGGTATAAATTGTTTTTTACTGATCCCACTCATTTTGGAAGCACTGCAGTCACACTCAATTTATCATCATTAACAACTAAATAACAAATCATATTAAAAATCACAATTTTCGCACTTGCATAGAGCATCTTTCCACGTTCCATATTGCAGGTAAGAAATCACAAATGAACCAATTCAAAATAAAAACATTAAATAATTAAATGTTAAAGTTTTGAAAATTATGAAAAAATCATGGGCTTTAAATATGCGTATAAAACATGAATTCTTGGGCTAGGGCCTCATTAGGCAAAAGTTTAGCCGACGAAAATGAGCCGTAGATCTTTGCATAGCAAATTTTTCAGCTCAATGTAGCGAGATAACGAATTGCTTGTAAAAGATTATATGATTTGTCTACAGCAGACGTTCTTTTGCTGAAGATCGGCGGTTGAACGTCTGCCTAATGTGGCGCTAGCATCACAAATATAAAAAAGAAGATATTTCACTGAGATTTTTTGTTTTTGTGTTGGTCTGCTCTTTTCTTTAAAATAAGTTTTAGCACTGTTTGGTTAAAGATACTTTATTGTTAAAGGAAGTAGGTAAAAAATACATATTGTCTTTTTAATTTATCCTACTACCATAGGTTCCAGTTCAAAATCAGGCGCTCCGCTGAATCCATCAGAATAAAGTGCATCACAGATTTTTTGTCTTTTATCTTTGGATTTTATGTTTTCCTTCAAGCCACAGTGGTATGAGCAAGTCTTCAAATAATGCCGGACGATCCATTTGTTTTTCTGATATCTATTTCAGCAAACGTGTAGTATTCAAAATTTATTACACAGAAAAATTGAAAAAGAAGTATCTTACGTGTTATTAAACAGCTAATTTTTTATATTTTCAACATGCATTTTTCTATTTATTGTCTTAATACACGATTTACCTGGGCTTTCTTTCTCCTATCCAATGGTTTTTGTCATCAGAAGAATTCTTTGAGGTATGCTAATATCATTCATATTGTATTACAAAAATACTCACTCTCAGAGAATACAGAACTGCCACCAACTCTTGGATTGCTTCTGCAGGCAGGTTACTTGCTTAACCAATTTGGTCGGTTGGTTCTTTGGTTAACAAATAATGCTAGGTACAAGAATGTGGCCTGGATATTTTTTTGCAGTAAACATTACGGTTCTTAATGCAAATATTATGCGAAAGTTTAAAAGTCACAACTTTATAAGATGCTCCTTTCCGTAGGAAGCGGTCTAATTAGACATCAAGAAGGACAAATGCTTCTCATATATACAACCAAAAATACATGCTCCAGTAGCATTGACTACTACTGGGCCGATCCTGTCACAGCTATCGGAAAGACAGCAACACAGTGTTTCGGTCTCCCATTAGAAATACATTGCCTATGCCTGGCTATACTGCATACTCAGTGTGTCCCGAACTATAGTGATCGATCCAACATTTTGCAATGGGCTCCTATACTATCACATAGTTTTTTTTTTATTAATTTTACTGGCCTAAGAGATATTAAAAGACAATATCAAAAGCGTTGAAAGATGCTTAATAAAAGTTTTAACAAAGCCTGTTCCCTCTCCAACAACCTGTAACTCCAGCTTTATTTACATTAAACTTTTATAATGGAAATAAGTAGAACAGTTTAATCTTGACAAGAAAGCTACATATGATATTTTAATAAATATGACAGCTAATCTCCGTCATAAGGGATAAAGACTCTCTTAGAAGGGGATTTGTACTAGAATAGTAAGTAAAAGAGCTACTTATTCAAGATTATGTGATGATCAAAATTGTTTTTCGTTTTACGCACGTTGTAAAATCCTTTGAATATCAGACTAGAAGTAGCGATAAGTTCAATATACGAGGTCTGTCCGAAAAGTAACCGACTTGAAGTTGTAACTTAAAGGGCTTTTAGTATAAAGTCGCTTGCTACTTTGTCACATTGACTGCAAGAGGGCGAAGAAAAAAAAGACCTAGGTCGAGTTAATACTCATAAAACAAAAATAATTATAGAAGTATGATAATTAGCTAAATCTCGTCGATTTTGCGCATTACGTATTGTGGTGTGGATTATGGTTATCTGATTCGCCATGAGCTGATTATAATTCGAAAAAAGAAATAAAACATCATATACAAAAACGATTACAATTCAAATTAGGTTTGCAAAAACCATACCATTCTTCAGGTTATTTGTATCTTTCTCCTGCAAGCGTTGATATAGCCTTTCGGATATCTAAAACACTTAATGTTTGTTCCCTTTGTTTTCGCGAAATTTCTTATTCTAATTTCTAAACACTGCACAACCTGGCGTTTTACTAGTAACTGCACTCATTAAAATAGATTATAAAGTACTAATAATATAATAATTATTTTTTAGCAGCAATAATGTGACAAAATCTAACTTTATTGTACTATCAGTTTAATTAGAAATTATTTGAATAATATGTATCAATTATTCCTAAAAAGACCTCTTGATATATACACTCACCGGCACGAAAAATGGACACCTCGATATTTTTGATAAAAATGCATTAATTTTTTAATTTGTTTTATAATTGGGTTTTAAACATTTGGCCAATAAAAGAACACGGTTTAGTAAAAGAAATGCCTTCCCAAATTGAATATATTCCAGATTTTGTACGAAAATCTCAATAATGCAAAAGTTATCATATTGCCCTTACTTCAGTGTTCCAAGTAGGCTATGCATTTTCAGTGATTTTCTCGATGACATTAAAGGTTAAGTGTTTATTATGTTCTACGGTTAAGTACTTGGTTATGTCAATTAGTGCGAATTTTAAGATGTCTTTAAGGGCAGAAACTGTTGCATCTATTGTTGCTCTTATTCAAGACGGAAAAAATCAAATTTACATGACTAACAGATTCGGGGTATTACGCAGTACCATGCAACGTGTATTTACACATTTTATAAAGACGAAACTTTATACTCGACGTCCTGGAACCGGTCCTCAGAGAAGAACTACTTATCGAGATGACCGTTTTATGATATTTTCAGCACTAAGAAATCGTCACAAAACTGCTGTAGAGATTAGAAATAACCTAGAACATGTCAGGAACGTAAATGCTAGTGAACAAACAGTTAAAAGAAGATTGAATGAAGCTAATCTGAGATCTTGAAGACCCGCTATGGGACCAGAACTTTCCAGAGAGCATCGTGTAGGAACCTCCCTTAGAATCTTAATTCGAGCTGAATTAGGAAGACCAAGTTCCTTAATTGGAAATGACCAAATTTATAATGTTATTGTTACTGCACATGCACAAGCATCAAAATTGGAAAGCAAACGACTGGAGCTTTGTGTTGTTTACCGATGAATCCAGATTTTGCTTACGATTACCAGATGGTCGCGAAAGAGTCTGGAGAAGGACAGGTGAACGATATGCCGAGTGTACTTTTAGGGGATCTGTGATTGCGGATAGGTACATAAATGAGATCCCACAAGAATATGTTGTCCCATATGCATCATTTATTGGTGATAACTTCATACTGATGCCGCGCCCGCATTGTCACGGAATATTTGAACGAAGTTGGTATTACCCAAATGGCATGGCCAGCGCGCAGTCCCGATATAAATACCATCGAGCATGTTTGGGATATGCTCGGTAGAAGGATTCAAAGCCGGGTACTTACCTTGGATCAGCTCAGAGTGGCTCTTCTAGAGCAATGGAAGCAATTCCGCAGAATGAATTCGCGGGTGCGCGTGCAAAAAGAATAAGTCAATATATGTGTATACGAGATAATGCGCAAAACATGTGCAAAACATTTTCCGACAAAAAATCAAGATCTCCACTAAAATTAAAAAATATTGTAACTAGTCAATATGATAGTGTATCTAACACTTTATTAGTGAATTACTTAAAAATTATTTAAATATTAAAATTGAAAATTCTTACTAACTTAACTCTGACTTTCAAAAAAGAATTAATAATTTTGCAATATTTCCAGAATTTTATTAAAAAATAAACTACAAATCAATAAACTACAAATCAATAAACTACAAATCTTGTTCATTATCATCATCTTCATCAGGATAGGCGTCTACAGCATTCCGTTTCGTTATAAGATTATGATAGAAATCCCACAAAGTACGGGAAATGTAAGGTAGGAGTTATATTAGGTTTTTTTCTTCTCGGCTGTTATTGGTACCGGCCCATCATAGCAGTTTTTAAGTCTTAATAATATATTACTTTTTCCTCTTATTTTGAAACTAACTGTTTGAAATGGTTTCACAGTCTCAAGGGAAGTTTTGTATTGTAATATTCCCAATGATTCTTTATCATATCGTAACCAGCATACGTCTCTCCAAGTTTCTCCACATGCACTTATTTTTCGATTTACCAATTGGCCTTTTAGAAGATCTGCAAAGTCCATAAAATCCTTTATCATTTCAGTGACTTTGAATGGTTTCTTTTTTCCAGACTGACGAACTAGCTGAACCCAGTCGTGAGGATGTTCTATTGGAAAATTACATTTTTTTTTTCATTTTTTCGATTATGCTATGGTCTGTATCACATTCCATGTGTGTATGGCCTGCCAGAAGAAACTTATAATCAATAGTTTTTAGAGTGGGATAATCTTGAAGAGCTACCATACACATTGCCGCAATGTAGCTATTCTTATTTTGCCCCCCACAAGTATCTGAGTACATTGTTACGTGTTGAACTTTTTTGTCTGTCATTAACCAAATATTTATATAGGCATGAACCAATATCATTTCCACCTCTTTTAGCAACTCCTTCATGTCACATATAACAATGGGCTTTTTCGGAATCACAGTCATGTACAGTAAAGTTGAATGTCCATAACTGTCTTTTATAAAATGCCAGAGAACTTTTAACAACTGGTGTTGGAAGACACTGTTGCATATCAAATGTGATAGTTTGTCGGCTTGGATCATTCTTTGATAAATCTTTGTCATTGGCTTTAGATTTATATGCCAAATATGCTTTAATATGATGTAAGTCTAGTTGCTCTTTTAGTGCGGTTTTGTCCACTTTCAAGTCAATTTCCCTAGCAAGCTTATCGAATGTCTGACAAGTATCTTTATTAGGTTGTTTAATCTTTATGTCTAATTTATGAAACTCTCTTTCGTATGTTCTACGAGATACAGGTTTTTCTGGATATTTTAATCTGTACTCATGATAAAGTTGCGTAAGTGTGTAATAAGGTGGAAAATATTTTTACTTTAAATCGCGTCTTGAATAATGACTCTCATAAGTCGGTATGGACAATAAATGATTCCAAACAATGTCAATTTCATCGTCGGTTTTTCTGTTCCCAGGAGTATGGGCTCCTCTCAAATCTTTGTGAACAATACCTGAAATATCCAATCGCTTTTTTTCAATTACGTTTTCCATAAACTTGTTTACTTCGTCAAAGGTTTTCAGAAAACAAGCTTTGCAGGCTGGGATATTTTTTCCATGTACCTGCAGATGATAGTAAAGCGCTATTCCGAACATTATAATAGCTATACAAAAAACAAAAATAATTCTACTTACTCAAATCATATTTTAGCTGAAAATCATTCTTTTACAGACAACTTTGAAATTTTACATATAGAAAATAAGGACAATAAACTAAACCATTTAGAAACACTTGAAATAAATAGATTTAAAAATTAAGATAACCTACTCAATGATCAATTAGATATTAATAACTCACCCTTATTAAATCTCTTTCCTAGTTTTCTGTAAGATAATCCCCGTAATGTTACTATCTTATTGTTATCTGATTGATATCATAATTACCTAAGTACCCTTATTTATTTTGTTATGTTATTGATGTTTTCTTAAGTACTTTGTTTTGTTAAATTATTTCGCATATATATTGGATACCGAATTGTAAATTAATCACATTTGAAAAAGAAGTTCTACTTCGAAACATGTCATGTGTAGTGTTTTTAATTTTTATTTTTTAAAATAATAGTTTTGTGAAAATCTACCATTTTTGGTTTTACTCATTCAAGATACCTCTTAATTTGTTTTGGATTGGATTAAATGACTGATTTTTTGCTAAATGCATGTACCTAGATAGTGTAAATTTTAATATTAGTAGTTTATATTTTTAACAGACTTCAAAAAATGAGGAGGTTCTCAATTCGTCGTAACATTTTTTTTTTTATATATGTTCAGCGATAATTCTTTAACATGATGTCCGATTTTAATGATTCTTTTTTTGTTAGAAAGGGGATACTTCAGGGGTGGTCCCTTATTAATTTAGTCAAAATCTAATAATTGGGTCCATTAGAAAATCCTCAAACTCTTCATTTTTAATGTATGTTTAGCGATAATTCTTTACCACCTTGTCCAATTTCTATGATTCTTTTTTGTTAGAAAGGGGGTGACTCGGGGGTGGTCCAATATAAATTTTGTTATAATTTATAATTGGGTTCATGAGAAATACCTCAAACTCTTAATTTTTTATGTATGTTTAGCGATAATTCTTTACCACCTTGTCCGATTTCTATGATTCTTTTTTGTTAGTAAGGGGGTACCTCAGGGGTGGTCCCATATAAATGTTGTTAAGATGTGGTGACGGCATCTGCACGATTTTGAAGTCGATTTTTTAAAATTACTTTTAATACTTGTGAACTTGAACAGTTACTTTTGGAGTTAACAATGTGTCAAACAATTTATCGAGTCTAGTGAAAATATCGAAAGAAGCAAATGTGTTTGCGTGGACCAAGAAAAAAGGGGCCAAGCCACAATTACCAAAATGTTCAGTAAAGCAAATTTAATATTTGAAGAATTATTAAATGAAAAGTTTTCATATTTTGAGGTAAATGATTATATCTTTATCACTTAATTTACTAAACAGTTGTTATTTTATAATCTGAAACAAACAGTAGAAAAAAGTGTTAAGCTGGACTTAGCTTGTTCTTGTATTGCTTGTAGTTTGTCTAGTCGTTAGGTACATTATTATATTATAAGATCTGGTTGTTTAGTTCATAATTATTAATTTGGCAAAAACTAAAATAGTACTCATAATATTTAAATTTTGATCATCTGTAATTAGGCTTAGTAAAGTGGTTTTATTACTTCAATATAAATTGTGGCCACAAAGATATACAAACATAGGCAGTAACTGTTTTAAAATATCAAGCTATTCTAAAGTAAAATTTTAAACCAGGATGCATAATTCTAAATCCACTTTGATGCGCTTTTGAGCTCTTTATTTGCTAATTTGGCTTATTACATGTAAACATACAGGTATTTTACAAAAGATGACGATATCAGTCCTGTACCCTTCTGCATAATTTTATTAGCCTCTATTGAAAAAGTACACCATAATTTCATTATTAAACTCAAAATAATTTTTTTAGTAATTTAGGTTAAGTATGATCCGATCGGCTATTTTGTTACAAAACTTTTGGTTATTATTTAATTATTGATATATCCTATATCTATATATTATGTACGTCAGCTAAACTTGGCGTTGGAAAATTTATATGTACTCTTAAATATCTATAATGCACTTGCACAATAGAGGTATGAAATATGGATGAATTATCGATGTGCAATAAAGCATTTGTGTTGTTTATATAACTAATAGATCCAAGCTTTATGTCATTATTACACAATATTCCCATAGAGAATAGTGTTTGTTTGGAAGACCTTATGCTGATGGCATGAAAAATTGCTAACAGAATTGTTTCGGATTATCTGATGAAATACTATACTATAAATCTAACTTATTTTAGATTTTAATATAGAATGTCCACTTTTATTAATTGGATAATTCTAATAATTCATTTTGATTTATTTTATAAAAACAGTGGTTACGATAATGAAATAATTAAAATTTATATTAATTTATATGTTCTTAACTTTTTTTGTATATGTATACACTTTAATAAGTTAATCACCTATTAAAAATTCGTTTTCAAATATTACGTCTTCAGAAAGACTGAGACGAAACTATAATATACAGGGTGAATCCTAAGTTGATACTTTTTTTTAACTGAGCAGGCATAGAAGTTGTAAAAATAAACATGTAGACCCTACATAGTTGTAATAAAAAGACAAATTATTTATTAAATCTTAAAGGGAAGAATATTTAAAAATATTTAATTCAGATAATATAAAAATAATAATATTATTAATAACAATAATACTATCCCTAATTTACCCCCTTACTAGTGAATTTTAACACTTGAAGTCGAATAATTTTATGTGGGGAAGGTACAGCTATTATTATTGTTATTATTTGCCGTGGTGCTTTGGGGCGACTTAAGGATGATTGACGGTGCCATTTTACTTACAGGCTGCCATCATTAAGAAAATATAACTGTAGCTCATAACATTTTCGATTTGCTTGCTTCTAGCTGTGGTATGTTTGGATCCCCATATGATGATAGTGTGTGCATTGAAATCTCCAGATAATACGTGGGGAAAGCAACTGCTTTATTTAGAATATCATCCGAATTTATTGTTTCATTCGAAGAAAGATAAACATTACAAAGTACTACTGGATTACCTGCACTTTTACAGCAACTGCTTCTAAATTCGAATTAACTTGAAAATGTTCAACTTCTAAGGATTTCTTTGTTAGGTTACTACATCCCCGCTAGCCCGGTTGTAGTTGGTACGATCATATCGAAAACAATTATAGGTATATAACAAATGATATCAGGAGAACGCTCGGATATAAGCAATTGTAACATGGGAAGGCGATGAAAACATCTATCAATATTCCATTGTAGAATCGTCTTGAGTGCAGCTGTTATTTTCAGAAATTTGACGAGTTCTCCAAATACTATGTCGACTATCTCGTGATGAATCACTATCTAGATCTGATAAGTCTTTACCTAATTGTTTGATCAATTTCTTTTTCAGTTTTGTTAATTTGGTTGTCAACCCTTTTTCTTTAACATAATGATAGCTTTCTGTAATTAGATGAATTAAGCCTGCAAAATCTATTGTAAACTCACTAATAACATTATGGGATCAAGTGAACTTTGTACATTATCGAGAAGTAGTAAAAGTTGATCATGATTAAGAACAAACGATGGTGAATGTTGATTAATGACATTTTCAAGAGTGATAACTCCCTGAACAGAAGGCTGTTTGGGTTTGATAAACAAGTTTTAAGAGTTACAAGAGGAATCTAAAGGAGTTAAAGCAATGTCTTTTATTATACGTTTAATTGATTGGTTCGGAGTGTTACAAGTTTTTCAGACTCTTCTGATTAAGCTATTTCTGATATATTTTGATTTAAAGAGGGAATCTGCGTTTTTGTGCGAGCAGCCATTCCTGTTTCAACTAGAAGAACATATTTAGTAGGTGTGTAGGTATTGAGGATGAAGCAGACCCTCCATTTATATTTGTTTCAATGTTGGTTTCTAATGGAATATTTGGTTTTTGAGGAGGAAGATTTTGAGCAATAGATTGTGCTGGAACAATTTGAGAGATAGGTTGTGATGAAATATTTTGAGGAAGTCCTTGTTCTAAGGACATTGATTGGCGATATGACACGGAGTTTTATAGTTTTAACAAATAATTTTATCTTGAGATTAAGGCCCGATTGTACAATGCGAGTTAAACCTCGGTTTAGCATGAACCTGGTTCTTGGCGTTGTACAATACTAGTTCAGAACATAAAATTCGTTCATCTATAGGTTCAACAAAGCGGTCATGTTTCCGCGCTTAAACCGAGTTCAGACCTATTTTTGAATTTAGTTAATTGGTAACACACTACAAAAAAAAATAATTTTTGGGTTGGTACCTTATACGTTACCGTACACAAACCGTACACCGTACCTAGGTAGGTAAATAGAAAACAAGATAAATACGAATTACTGAATTCCCTATTATTAGAAGTTGTTTCATAAAAATGTATGAAATGTCTGAAGACGAGGATTAGTAAATATTTCCGCGAAATATAACACCACTTTGTGAATTAAATTCACTTTCAATTTTTATCCAGCACTCATTCTTCTTGCGCGTTACATTCTCATTCGGTTTTTTATTTTCTAAAATGTCTTTATATTTTTTCGTTAGTTTCACTAATATACCTTCTTCGGCATGCGTGAATTTTGTCGTTATTTTTGATTGAATATTTATATTTTCCATATTATATGTCTGGAAACACGAGGGACAACTACGTATAACCTCTAAAAATAATAATTTTAGAGTAAAAATGCCAAAAATGACATTTTATATAGCTCCTTTATTTTCTAGTAAGAGAAACAAAGATACCCTACGTATTTAGTAAAATTGAAATCTGGCAACTTTGAACAATGAAGTTTATCTAAACCGACGTTGTGCGGGATATGTACAATTCATACTAACTTTTAAGGTAGGTTCAACCATTTACCGGCTCACCTGAACCTAGGTTTTAGCTTGCTTTGTACAATCGGG